GTAGACGTATATGCACAGAGAAGTCTAGAAAGAATTTTGCCAAAGCATTAACAAGAATCATTTATGAATGGTAAGATTTAAGAAGATTTCTGCTGTCTTCTGCATACCTTCGTATTTTGTTTGATTTTACTGCAATGAGCTTGCATAAAATGTTAAGTCTTCTTCTCTAGAATTCAGAGATCCCAAAGACCTCTGAAGGTCCTTTCTCATTGATTTCTTCAGTTGCTATTACCCTCCTCAATGAGGACGTGCAGCAAGTCAGGGCTCAGGTTCTTCTTAGCTGCACCTTACCACAGCTATAGACACACTCTCCTTTACGAGTCCCTGGCATCTCCTAATATCTACTTCATTTTGACTGTACTGATTCTGAAGGCCGACCCAGCTCCACCTTCTGACACAAAGTCACATTACACAGCATTTTCCACGTTGATGTTTTCTGGAAGCACTATCATGCTGTAAGATGAGAAAACATTTCCTGTCCATGGTTACCACATCTGTTGCTGGTCAGTGCTATATGCTGTTAGGCCAACTCTCTCTGTGACTTCCTTCTTTTATTTCTAACCTTGTCCACGGTATCTTCATTAGGTCTGTGAAAGCATAGAAGTTAGCCTATTGCCATTCTAACACAGCAAAGAAGAAGGGGCAGGGCGGCCCAGTGGCATCGTGGTTAAGTTCGCGTGCTCCACGTCAGTGATGTAGGGTTCACAGGTTCGGTTCCTGGGCACAGACCTACACAGCACTTATCAAGCCAAGCTGTAGCAGGTGTCCCACATATAAACTAGCAGAAGATGTGCACAGATGTTAGCCCAGGGCCAATCTTCCTCAACAAAAAGAGGGGGATTGGCAACAGATGTTAGCTCAGGGCTAATCTTCCTTACCTCCCCCCAAAAATAATAAGGGGCAGCTCATGTGCTGCCCAAGAAGGACAAGATTCCACATATCAGGATCAAATGTTAACCTTAGGTCCCCTGCTTGAGCACTTGATAACACGGTTCCAAGGCGACCACATTGAACATATTTCAGTAGAACTGAGAACATCCGTAAGAGAGGGAACGTAATAGCATATTAACAGTTTGATCTTGGACAAGTTATTTAATAAGAAGCTATAGTTTCTTTCCCCACAAAATAGGGATATGTCATCTACTGCAAATGGCTTTGCAAAGGGTAAATGAGATATTGCATGAAACTTTCCTGGATGTCTCATAGGTACTACAGAATCAATACACCCCAAACAGAACAGGGGTAGGAATGAGGCTGAAGATAATGGCAGGTCCTCATAAGACTTGCTAAGGATCTTGGATTGTGATAATGGCATTGAGATTATGTAAGAAAATGTGTATATATATATATATATATATTTTAAAAAATATATTGAAATAGGATAATGGTATGATATCTAGAATTTTCTTTAAATACTTGATCAAGAAAAAAGATAGAAAAATATGGAAGAAACAAGAGTAGCAAAAACAGTGACAATTATTGAATCTGGGTGGGGGTATCTTGGGAGTTCACGTACCATTATCTCAACTTCAGTGTTTGGTTGAAAATTTCTAAAAACAGTCTTAAGTTAGACTGATTCTCTTGTGTTATCAACCGTTAAGACTGGCTATTGATTTTACAGAAACACTCCTAATTTCTTATGTTTGGGGAAGTAGGAAGGAGGCAGGCAAATTTGCACCATGTGACCTTACTTCCTTCACTAGAGTCCCATGCCCAGGAATTTGGAATTGGGAGAAAAAGAGAAAGAAAAGAAAGACAGAGAGAAATAGAGAATGATGATGAGTCTTTAGATGTGGCTAGCCCTGTAACAGCTGTGTACTGGTGACCATATTCTACCGGTAGAGAGGGGAGACAGAGTTGATCCAGAAAAAGAATAAACCGTACACATAGAGGGCAGACCATAGAGACAGAGTCCTACTTGGTTTCTCCTTAGGTTTCATTTCCTACATCCAGTGATTTCTGAGTCCTGGCTACATTCTTACCCTTGGGCTCTTTATTCTTATAGTAACCCCCTCCCCCTTATCACAAGCTAATTTCCATTGGTTTTTGTTACATGATACCACTGATATATCATGAATACAGCCTATGTAACAAAGTCTGTTGTCAAGTCCTGAGAAGTATTCGGCCAAATGTGAATCACATAGTCAAACGGGTTAGAAGTGTAGACAGCGGACAGTGTGGGGTCAAAGCCAGAAGATGCAAGTTCATCAGTGCCAGTAGTGCTGGGGGATTTGTGTTACTGAGGACTTGTGCTGCACTTGTTTTAAAAGTGGATTGTTGGGGCAGACCAAGTAGAAACTTCCACTTAATTCCTAACACTTGTATGGAGGTAGCAGCACTTGGTGGTATTATTCTTTTCTTTTAATTTTGTAAACTATTCAGGGTATGGGGTAAGAGGAGCATTTAACTTTCAAAAAATAGCCAACCAATCATTTCAAAACCATTTGTTAAAGCATATTAGGTTCTTTAAAGTGGGATCTTCACATTTCTGAACTCTTTATGACTTCAAGGACACAATCAGAGGCAGGTGTCAGGGCCAATCAAAAGAAAACAAATGGGAAGTGATTGGCAAAAATAATGTGTATGGGAATTAACAGAGGTTCATCTTGCTGTTCTTGCTGCAGAACAGGACTTTTGCTGTCTTCCATCTTCCTCTTTTTTCCTTAGGATCTTCAGGGCTAATCCGATCAGTCTTGCCAGCATGCGACCTCCTGCTCAGCTTCTCCTCCTCCTCCTGCTTCTCCAGTATCCAGGTGAGTGGGTCAGAGGCTCCTCCCCTCTAGCTTGACCTTCTGAGTGGCAGAGTGTCCACGTCGGTACTGCCAAGCAAGGCCTTTCACCGAACTTAGGACCTCATGTGCGAGAGATTGGGGGACCAGGTAGACAGAAAAGGTTGAGTGACTCCAGAACATGAGAGAGAAAGACTGATTAGAGAGTAAAGAAGAGAAAGAAAGAGCAGAAGAGAAGGGTCAAGGGTACATAGTATTATGACATTGTGAATGTCAGAGTTACATGGAATCTGAAAATCTTTACTCTTTTTTGGCTGGGAAATATTCGCCTTGAGCTAACATGTGTTGCCAATCTTCTATTCTCTTTTTTGTCCATCCCCAAAGCCCCAGTACCTAGTTGTATATTCTAGTTGTAAGTCCTTCTAGTTCTTCTATGTGAGCCACTGCCAAAGCACGGCAACTGACAAATGGGTGGTGTGGTTCCACGACCGGGAACCGAACCTGGGCCGCCAAAGCGGAGCATACTGCAGTTTAACCAGTAGGCCATCAGGTCTAGCTATGAAAGGCTTTACATTTATCTCCATTGTTTTATAAAGGAAAAGAAGAGGCCTGGAGAAATCAACAGGTTTCCCGAAAACTGCACATCTCAATAAAGACAGGATCAGCACTGTCATCTAGGGATCCTTATTCCACACACCACTGAGACACCAGAACTGCAATGAAATTGAAACCCAAGCTCCAGAGTGGGGAAGCATTCCATAAAACAGGAAGTTATGATTAGTACTAAGGAAAAAGAGGGGTGGGCAGGGCAAGGCTGGGCTCTGACTCCCCCTGTGGTCTCCCTTCTGGTCTTCCAGGGCCAATAGCCCTCAGTAGGAACCCAGCCCTTGGGATGGAGCAGTGACCCCATAGGAAGGAGAGTTTAGGCATTGCCCACTTCCAGCTCCAGCCACCGCACCACTGCTAACACCTGTTTATGTCCAACATTCTTGTGCACCCCAACCTGCGAGAGTTATGACTTGGGAGTGAGGGAGGGTGTCAGAGCTAGTTTTTATAGCCACTTCCTTCTATGTTTATAGACAACACAGTTTCACAAACGAGCTCAACCCCATTGATGGTGGCCGGTGTTCTGGGGGAGTCAGTAACTCTTCCCCTGAAGTTTCCTGCAGGAGAGGAGATTGACTCCATCACCTGGCTTCACAGGGGAACATCTGTCATCTTCATAAATCCAAATGAAGCACTATTCCTGGTGACTGCTCCAAAACGCAAAGATAGACTGAAGGTCACCCAGTCCTACTCCTTGCAGCTCAGCAACCTGACGATGGCAGACGCAGGATCATACAGTGTCCAGATAGTCACGAATACCTCTTCAGTGTTTTTCAGTTACACTCTGAGGATCTTCAGTGAGTAAGGGCATAGAGGTCCAGTTCCCTACGGGTAAGGGTGAATAGGGCCATCCACTAAGCCTGGGGCTGGGGGCGATGACCCTCAGTAAAAGTTGTCACTTAGGTTCACTCTTGTGACCAGTCTAGAACCTCTCATAAGTACATCTTTTTTTTTCCTTTTCTTATTGTTTTTTGTCCTCTTCAGTTAACAGCAGATTCTCGCTGAAGGCTGTGGTTGTGTCTGGCTGAAAACCATCACACAACTTGCTCCTTCCTCCATTCAGCCCCTAAGAGGCTACAAATGGAAGAATTCGGGATCTTTTCTCCAAAGGGGGCTGGATTCCTTTCTATGTTCTCTGCCCTTTATTCTCTCAATCCTTTCCTCCTGGGATGGCCTAAGAAGGCTCGTCATTGCTGTTAATATCTCTTAAACTATTAAAATCATTGCTTCAAGCAGAGCGGCTGCCAAGGCCTCACATTAGCGTGGAGTCCATCACCTCTGAGAATGGGACCTGTCATGCGACCTTGAGGTGTTCTGTGGAGGAAGGAGGAGACAACATCATATATCAGTGGACACGAGTGGGACCAGGGGCTGTTGTGTCCCAGGAAGGATCCATCCTCAATGACTCCTGAAGCCTTGATGATCTGGATCGGAACTACACCTGCACAGCTATCAACCCTGCTAGCGATAGCATCTCTAGCCACATCCTTGCTCGGGAGCTTTGTGCAGGTAATTGGCCCCTTCTGGCCTCTCCAAGACTCCTGGGAAATGCTTTGACAAGCTTTAGAAGGAGCTGGAGAGTAGACTCCAGCTCTCGGCACTTGCCAACATCCCCGTTCACTCACACACACATGCTCTGCCCTCTCTCTACTTTCTCTCTTTCAGGTTCCAAGGCAGCTGCAGGCACTTATTGCCCAGTGACATGGATTCTGCTGGGGAAGGGGCTTCTTCTCCTCATGGCCCTGGGGGTTCTATGAACTTGGCACATCCAGACACAGATGCTCAGCAAACTCCTTATGTCTAACTCAGGGCCATGAAGGCCACTAGTGCCCCAGGAGAGCCTGGATGAGGCCATTGCTTCTCTGTTGCTCAATTAAATTACAGTACAGACCTCTACGCTTTTCAAGGTGTAGTACTATGGATTGTCAAAGACCAATGGGATAAAATTTCATATCTTCCGTGTGTGAGCCCATGTGTGTGCACACTGCATGAGAATGAGGACAAAAAGAGATAAAATATTTGTATCAATACCATGTTATCTATTCTAAGAAGAAAATTCCCCCTTAATTTAAGGTTTCTGGAATCAAGATGAGTCATAATATTAATGTGTAGGGCTAAAAGGGATAGTGTATTTTTCTCCTGAAATACTGTTATTAAAATAATACTGCTTTCAAAAATCAGTGATGTTGTAGAATTCTTGAAATACCGTAGCTGTAATACAAGGCAGAGTTTCATATAGCTGCCTTAATAGAGGCACATCCACATTCGTGGACCGAAATTTGTAAAGTATGGTGCATTTTAAGTGCACTTTGAAGGATGCTGATGATTAGAGGTGGGAGAACAGGAGTAGTCAGGGCCATTCTAGTCCCTTGGAGTAAAATCATAATCATCAATAAGCTCTTACTATGG